GAGGATGTTTAAGGCAGGCCGGTCTAAGCTATGATGTTCAGTAGATTAAGTATATTAAATGCACTTTCAACTTACAATAATGGGTTTAGGGAGAAGAAACCACTAAGTCGGGGAGCATCTCTATGTATATTAGCATGGAGATGGATTGCAATAGAATAGTTGTATGTTCAAAGTACAATAAGCATTCAAAGTAAATGTTCTGACCTAAGCTTCCAGATTTTTAAAAGTTGAGTAGGTTCAAACTTTTAACAGTGTAGCATTATTGATGGGTACATATTTAACCCTTCTTTTCCACAAAAACATTCAATATAGCACCCATGTCTTCAGGTAATCTAGAAATGCCACCAGATATCAAGCAGGAAAAGTTTATCAGTTACTTCTACTGGCTGATCTGAAAATCATTTAAAGTACTCTCTAGAGTACTCTCCAGAGTGCAAAAACCTCAGAAATCTTATATTTTCATATGATTACTCAGAAGCAAGCAAGATGGTATCAGTCAAATGAAACAAAGCTGAAACTAACAAAGACGATGCAGGCAAAAATAAATAAAATGAAGTAAAATATGGAAAGAAAAGTGATTTAGATTAGAATAATCTTATATGATAAGTTTAGTATAAATAATTCTAAGTAGTAAGAAAAGTGATTATCCAAACACTAAGAGAGACTGCCTACTTACATGCAAAACTCAGAGACAAATACTTAGAGGGCTTAATAATTTATTATGTCCACTTTACCTACTTTACAGATGAAACAGTGTGGCACATAGAAGTTAACTAACTTGCCTACGGTCACATCTATCAATAAAGAAGTTGCACATATTACACTTTGTTACCTCTGCATAAAACTCCATCCCTGCTCTCTAGGAGTTACAGCAATGAGGATTAAGTATATTGAACTGATTTTGTACTACTACTGAAACTACTGATGAGATCTTAAACTTCAATAACTAGTCTAACTGTAAATTGAAAACCAAAGTGCCAAAAGCATTCCCAATATAAACTCTTAGTATTTATTTACTTACTTTTAGAGTATAAGCTATAATGGGCATCTGACCATTTTAATTTAAGTAGTTTCCATTTTTACCCTTATGATCATAGGATCTGTTTAGCTGTGTGGGTCATTAAAAACACTTTGTTTGGGCGGTGCCTGTGGCTCAAAGGAGTAGGGTACCGGCCCCATATGCCGGAAGTGGCGGGTTCAAACCCAGCCCCAGCCAAAAACTGCAAAAAAAAAAAGACACTGTTGACTATGTTTCTTGGAAGTGAAATAATGGGCCATAATACAGTCTGTCTCAAAACTTTCATAGTGAGCCACATACTACAAGAAATCACTCAAACTGATCACTACACTGGAACTTTTTCAGACAAATCTTGTAAGAATCATCAACAACATAGGGATCATTTTAGCATATCCCAATCCTATCTTCAAAGTTATTTTCACATCCATTATTCCATTATATTCTTTAAAAAAAAAAATAAAGAGAACCTCATGAGGAAAGGAAATCTGTATTTACATGTTTAAAAATTCAGGAAAGCTAAAGGAATTTGCCTGTGCGGTTGAGGCTCTGGAATACTAATGCCAGGACCCAGGTCTTCTGATGCTCAGCCCAAGTCTTTTCCAATTCACTAAGAGAAATCTCAGGCCTCCTTGATGCTCTGAAGCTCACAGTGCTACCAGGTAAGCCTCCCTAGAAGAGCTGCTTTTTACATGAAGCTCAGTAGGAAGCAGAGGCAAGCAACAGGGTTAGATCTTCAGTCAGGCCTAGTGAACAAACAAATGCTGTTGGTACAAGACAGGGGCAGGCAAAGCTCGATTTAATTTTGGTCCAGTGACAACTGAAAACAATTGATGAGTGCATAGAGAAGGTCAATGACCCCACTGTTCAAGCAACATGGCAAAAGACACTAGTAGACTTTATAACATTCTTCTCTGAGTCCTATGAACACAAAAAAACAATTACTGGGAAAGTAAGGATCTTTCATGTGACCTGGATGGCAGAGGAAGGGGGAGTAGGGACAGAACTGACTGGCATTTCTGCTCTCTGGAGACCTACTAAAGACTGATAGAACAAACACGTGAATACACTGTTATCCATTTCCTTCTCTGGAGACACTTGCTCAATCATACAAAAGGAAAAAGAAATCCTCTGATGGACTAGAATTTTTTCTATTACATACATACAAAGAGACTGAAACGGCTTCAGAACTACACATAATCTCCAAGCTTAGATGTGCTAAGTAGAAAAGTCTAACCAGAAAATTTTCTACCCATCAGCACTTCAAAAAGTATCACAAAAGCAATCTCAACTTAAGTTTATTAAAAATCTCATTCGAACACCAAAAGAAAAACATTTTTTTCTCTAACTGTATCCCAAAGTAACAACTAAACCTGAAACTCCTAGAGAATGTACTAACTTTATCACTGATAACCATTTTCTTTTTTCACTTTCAGATAATATGTAAATAAAATTTACACTCTAGAAAAATATCCTCATGATACTTTTATTTTTTTTGTGACAGAGTCTCACTTTGTTGCTCTGGCTGATGTCAAAGCTCACAGCAACCTCAAACTATTGGGCTCAAACGATCCTCCTGTCTCAGCCCCCAAAGTAGCTGGGATTACAGGCACCCCCACGAAATGCCTGGACATTTTTAGAGATGGAGTCTGATTCTTGCTCAGGCTGGTCTCAAACTCATGTGCTCAGGCAATTCACCCACCTTGGCCTCCTAGAGTGTGCTAGGATTACAAGCGTGAGCTGGCCTCTCATGAAACTTTCAATTGTGCTCTCCAGTAGAGGGCTTGTGGCTTGCTTAAGTATTTCTAAGCCACCTGACTATGCTAGTTACTCTTTTACTTAGGAAAATGCTACTAAGTATTTTTTGCTGCATCTGCATGGCAATGCTAAAATGCTTTCAAGTGCCAAAGATCTTGTGATTTTGCTTTTTCTACAAAAGTATTTAATCAGCCTTGCATTACTAAATGTTCCAGCAATAAATGTAACCAAACTATAAACTGCATTCTATAATTGAAACTAATACAGAAGTGTTAATTTAAAAATTTAAGAATGCCTTCTGAAAACATGTCTTTGATTTTTTAGACACTAGGAGCTCATCATTTCCCCAACCTGCCAAAAGATTTGTGAAAGCAGAAGACACTAAAAAGAGCAAGGGTAGTGATAAATTCTATTTGATTTTTTTTCCTTCTTCCATCCCACTCCACCTCTGTTAACCATCTGTGGTAGATTAAATTATTATTCATCAAATATTCACTCCCTCCCCCAGCCTCCCCAAGGGAGGAATATATTTCTCTCCAGTGATGCTGGGCTTCGCTCTGTGACTTGTTGGCCTAGTGGTGGATTACTTCTACTGCCCACCCTTAAGTTTTGGGGCATGATCATACGACTTGCTTTGATCAATTCAACTGTAGCAGATGTGGCAAAATAAGACATTTGAACTATACTTGTACTATTGGCCTTGCCTTCTTGCACTTCTGCTGAGAAGAGCTTACCAGGGATAGCCACTATCCCAGAATAAGACATGCAAATAAGAATTGCCCCCTCTGAAGGAAGGAGGGCAATAGGAGGGGTCATGGTGTGTGACAGACCTCTTGGGGGCAGGACACAATTATAAGAAGGACTTTACCTAAAAATGCAAGCAGTGTAACCTGGTTCCTCCTACCTTGATAATTCCCCAACAATAAAAAAAAAAAATGAAAAAAAAAACTGCCCCCTCTGACTCACAGACTTAGACCTAGAAGCAAAGCCCTGCATGAGAATAAATGCTCTAAGATTCTAAGTTTGGGTAAGGTCTGCAATGTAGAGTTACTATAGCAACTTGTTTTTAAATAATGGTTATGTTGGCTCAGAAGATGTGGTAAAAATGAACAAAGACTTGTAATTAAAAGTCCAGAATCCCTTATCTGAGACAAATAGAATGAAATGTGTTTAGAATTCAGAAATTTTTTGGATTTTGTAAAGATAATATGATGGAAATACCATATGTTGTATAATTCTCCCACAGGCGCTTTTCTCTGCTTGTGCTATTGGCCTTGCCTTCTTGTACTTCTGCTTGAGAAGAGCTTACCAGGGGTAGCCACTACCTCAGAATAAGACATACAAATAAGAATAGGTCCCTCCGTGGCTCATGGCTCCGTGCCGGTAGCACAGTAGTTATGGAGTCAGCCACATACACTGAGGCTGGCGGGTTTGACCCATCTGAGCCAGCTAAACAACAATGACAAGTGCAACAAAATATAGCCAGGCATTGTGGTGGGCACCTGTAGTCCCAGCTGCTTGGGAGGCTGACGCAAGAGAATCGCTTAAGGCCAAGAGTTTGAGGTTGCTGTGAGCTGTGACACCACAGCATTCTACGGAGGGTGACACAGTGAGACTCTGTCTCAAAAAAAAAAAAAAATAG